AGTGCTACATTCACCATCAGTTGTAGTCAGTGCTACATTCACCATCAGTTGTAGTCAGTGCTACATTCACCATCAAAGTAGTCAGTGCTACATTCACCATCAAAGTAGTCAGTGCTACATTCACCATCAGTTGTAGTCAGTGCTACATTCACCATCAGTTGTAGTCATTGCTACATTCACCATCCCCCCAGTTCAGGCTGAAAGGAAAGGTGTTCAGCGATCAGCAAACAATGTCAGAATACACGTACATGTACCACAGAGCACAGCCAAGCCAAGAATTCTATAGTGTGAAAATATAAGTATAAAACATTCCAACAGTCAGAGAGTATATAGGTGTACTTGTACCCACCTCCATCTTCGAGTTACAAAACATTAGGGGGTGGGGGGAGAGAAGACACATCCAGAGATAAAGAGATCCTGATTCAGAACTGAGAACAAAACCGTTACAATGTCTCGTCTCTTTTGTTTTCTTTTGTTTTCTTTTTCTTTCTGTCCCCCAGAGTGAACGAACGCGCCAACTTTGGGGGCCTCTGGGGGATGGAAGATCCGGACCAAAGGTCAGAGACATTGCACGTGTGTCATGTTGCACGTATTTCATGTGGGTCAGGTGTGTTAGGTGTGTCAGGTGTGTCATGTGAGTCGTGTGTGTCATGTGTCATGTGAGTCGTGTGTGTCATGTGAGTCGTGTGTGTATGTGAGTCGTGTGTGTCATGTGTCATGTGTGTCATGAGTCCTGTGTCATGTGTCACGATCAGACGACTTTGCACGTGTGTCATAAGTGTCTTGGGTCACAATCCCATCAAAACACAGGACACACCCACACCTGTGAGACACACTGACACACCCACACACACCTGTGTGACACACTGACACACCATACACACCTGTGTGACACACTGACACACACACACACACACACACACACACACACACACACACACACACACACACACCTGTGTGACACACTGTCACACCATGACACACCTGTGTGACACACTGACACACCCACACCTGGATGACACACTATGACACATTAACACACCTGGATGAACCTCCCATTACAACCCTCCACACCCTCACCCCTACTCTCTCTCTCTCTT